ACCCAGTTCTTTGGTCGCGACCCAGCGAAACGATCATCTCATCTCTTTTATACTAAATAGAGTTGCGCGGTTCCTAAATTTTAAATAAACAAAATTCAAATGGGACAAAGCATATAAAATTTCCAAGATAGTGGTGTGGTCAACAATTGTTCAATAAAAATTTTAGGGAGAGATTTAATTTCATTGGGGACAACTTTCTTAATGATTTTTTAAGCATCTTTTAGTAAAAAAAAAACCTGAAAGCAACAAAAATAGTGGCCAAAAGCTATCTCAAATAGGGTGTAAATGGCTCAATTATGCACGCGAGCCCTCCTCCTCTTCCCGCAAGTGAGCCCACCGTCGAGTGGCCCGTTAGTTCATTTGAGTTTCGCACACGAGCCCGCGACCAGTGTCCTAATTCCAGCAGGCGAGCCCACCGTCAAGCGATCATTTAGTTCATGAGCATTTCACACGCAAGCCCACAACCGACGTCCTGATTCCCGCCCAGCCATTCAAAATTCTCATTTCGTTCGTGTTTAGAGGCCCACAATGTTCTTACTTTCGAAATTCCCGCACACGAACTAGAATTCCTTCTTCCCGCCGCCACCAGCTATATATTACACTAATATATTAATATTTCATTAGATAATTAATTAATGATGAGCCTGCTCACGAGCCGAGCCTCATCAAGCTCAAGTTTGAGCTTGAGCTTGAGCTCTTGGCTTGATAAGCTTGATTTACGAGCCGGCTCAACTCACTTACACTCCTAATACCAAATGAAACCAACACATCACAACATTTTTTTTATTAATATATTTATTTTTAATTTTTTATATTTATTTATATAACATTCTAATTTATATCTCATCAAAATATTAATTTATTTTAAATAAAATATAGTTTATGTATTTAACATATAAATATAAAAAATTTATATGATATTTATGATAATTCATTTTTACTAAATAATTCTATGTGCGGATCATCTTTATAGTAAGTGGACTTAAAAGCTGCCACAGCACATAGTCATACCTTTATCCTTTGTCAACTCCAATTCCAATTAGTTGCATGTGAGAACATATCACCGTTGCCTATTTAATGCTCAATGAACTAAGAGCTCTTTAGGAACTTTTATTGTGGGCTTAGATTTTCAAAATTTTATAAAGAACTTTGATGAACTTTCGATTAAGGGGAAACATAATGTAAAAGAAATATAATCTAAAAAATACTTTGGAGTTATTTAGATGCATGTAAAGTAAATGCAAATGATTTTTTTTTATTAGAAGTACTGAATGTAGTGTAAATTTTAAAGATAATAACGGCCGATGAGTTGGCCGGGTTGTGGCCGATAGCGGCTGGCAGCGACGGTGGGCTATTGCGAGCGGCGGTAGCGGTGGCTAGTGGGGCAAAGGGGAGGTAGTGGCGGCCGACTGTGGTGGTGGCTGGTGGGCGGCAGTTGGCGACCAACAACAACAGTGGTGGGCGGCGATCAAGTGATCATGCTTGTGATATAAACAATTTTTGCTCAAAACTATGTGAGTTTGATTTACTTCAAAAATGAATTTATAATGATTTACACTACATTTATTTTACTTTATTTTGCATTCCTTTTTCATCCAACCAAGCACTTAAATTTTCAGACCACGTACATTCAAAATAACGCACACTCTTTTATATTCCAATCAAACAACCCCTAAAGCCATTTTACAATTGTTCAAATTATAATATATTCTCCATATAGAAGCTCAACTACATTGAGGCTCTTCAGCCCAACCATCTGTCATGAACTGAAAGGACAGAGGAAAGTAGATTATATTACATAATGCATGACATCACATATGATTTGAAGTACATTTAGATGCTTCTACAACTAACTTGAATTCAAATACACAACTCTCTTTGGCCTATTGGTTGAAAGCTTAGGCTTCCAACTTAGAAGTCCAAGGTTCGAGTCCATGTGTATTCGTTGTGTGTGTGAGTTTGCCTTAAATGGCCTAAATGTCAAAAAAAAAAAAAAAAAAAAACTTGAATTCAAATCACAAAAGAAAGAAACTATATATATAGTTCATCTTGTTTTAAGTTTTATTTGGGATTATTTTTTTCTGCTTTCAAGGCAGGTTTTTAGTAAAAAGAAATTTGAACTAAAAGTTTTTTTACTAGAAAATTATTTTAAAAAACAACAAAAAAACTAACTGAAACTATAGTGTTTGGAAGATTTAGCTACCAATTAAAAAATAGTGTTTAAAACTCTTTTTTTTTTATAGTGTTTAAAACTTATGTATATGATGTGCGCATAAATTTATCCTAATATATGATGCTTATAATGTCAATTTTTTTTTTCTCTGAAGAGAACCGAATAAATGGGCATTCACATTAGAGAAAATATATCAAAACATTTAATTAATTTAATCACATAATATTGTAAAAAATTGACCTTAAAGTGGAAATATGTAATAACATGACTTATAATTTCAAGCAAATTATTATTATTATAATTTTGTCATTTGTACATCTAACTCAATTTTGTTTCCCTCTCTAATTCGTTCCTAATAACATTTAATGAATTCAAAATTTTAATGTTTCATTTGAAACAATTTTCTTACTACTTTTTAAATCATTTTTTTAGTACAAAATTTTTATAATTAGAAAAAATTTAACTAAAAAATTACTTTAAAAACTAATAAAAAAATCATTCCCAAACACAGCATAAATTTCCTAAACCCTAAACCAACATACACCAGTCCTTTCTAGGAGAAGGCAACCAAGGCATCAATACCCGAATAAACAATTAAATTTTTTAGTCAATGTCAATCAATAAATATAACCATTAACATTGACTAAGGATTTATTCGATATGACTATAATTTTTAATAGAAATAATTATAAAATTATCGTAGAAAAAATAATTTTTTTTGAAAACTATCATAAAAAATAACTCCCTCGCATTGAAATTTCTTGAAAGAGATGAAAAAATAATAACAAAATGGAAGATAGTATAAGAAACTTATCAAGTATGTTGGGAAGTGTGAATCTAAAGAAAATTAGGCTTTGTTTGGAATAACTTTTTTATTGCTTTCTTAAAACAGCTTTTTAGTACAAAATTTTTAAGTTAAAAAAAAAACTTCGTACTAAAAACGGCCTTAAAAATAATAAAAAAAAAACTACCCAAATAAAACCTAAATTAGAAAAAAAAAATGTAGCAGTTGAACTCATTTAAAACCCATAAAAGAGAGCCAATCAATTGTATTTCTACACCATCATACATTTCAACTTGAAGATATATAACTAAACTATAATGCCTACACAACAGGCACAGCATGGGAGCTTTGTTTTGTATACAAAATCAATAAGTTTAATGAGAAATATAGAATTAAGATTTACAGGCTATCACTGGAACTTACATAGTAGGATTAGTGAATACTATTAATTGCTTATCTGCTGTGGAAGCCAGAAGATGCGTATTATCCTCATTGAGTGCAAAGGCAGTGATATCTTGGCCTTCACTTAGTGCCAAAGTATGGAATACCTGCAAAGAAATATTATGTTCTTGAGAACTTTTAATGGGGAAATGGAGAAGAATGTGAAAATGATACTTTGGACTATTTACATGAGATCATTTTAGGCTTCGTTTGGGACGGGTTTCTTACTGCTTCTTAAAGCAGCTTTTTAGTACAAAAAATTAATTTTTTATACTAAAAAGCAACTTTATGAAGCAGTAAGAAAACTGTCCCAAACGAAACCTTAGTCTCAAGCTATAAATATGTTCAATTTAGTCCCTTAACTCCTCAAACATGATTATTTTGAATCAGATTTAAGTTATCGATGAACTATTTTAGATTAATTTTGAGTAGTTAATGGATTAAGGCTTCGTTTGAGACAGTTTTCTTACGACTTCTTAAATCAGTTTTTTAGTACAAAAATTAAAAATTGTATACTAAAAAACTGTTTTAAGAAGCGATAAGAAAGCCGTCTCAAACAAAGCCTAAATTGGACACAATAGATAGTCTAGGAATAACCATTTTGACCTTTTTCTTAAAAAATTTAAAAAAAAAAAGAGAGAAGTGTGTTTGGCTATAATTACCTTCAAAGAATGCAAATTGAGAAAGCAAATGGATGGAATTGGAATACTTTGCCGATTTGAAGTCGACTTGAAATTTACTACATTTGATGCTTCAGATTCTGACAAGAAAGCCTCGGCATTTGCCTTGCCATCTTTACAAGAAGAGGTACCAATCAAGGCATTTTCCCCATCAATTGAAATCTGAATACAACTGATTCGGCCTGAAAAGGGCGAGAAGGTTGTAGTGGCAATTGATATTCCATTGACAGTAAAAGTGCAGAACATCTTTTCATGCTCATTCCAAGTAAGTATAACTCCTTGAGATGAAAGATTGATAGCATGGGCCTCAAGAATATCTAACTTTCGCAACAACCGGCCCTTCCTTAAGGAATGTAGAAGCACACCAGAGGAGCTTGAGCTTGAAGCAATGATGCCGATGTCGGAATTAACGGCGCAGCAGAGGACCTCGCCGCGATGTCCTCTCAAGACATGGATAGGCCCTTCAATGCGGCGTTTTTGGCGGGTTTGCGGAGCGCTGCTATTGTTACTAACTGTTACAGGAGTAGTTAGGGTGTTTGGAGAAGAAGAAGAGGGTGCTGAAGCATTTTGTAGGTTTGAAAGGAACAGCCGATGTACTCTCCAAAAAATCACAGTTGTGTCTCGGGACCCTGTTACTAGATAATTAGAATCTGGAGAGAGTGCAAGGCAAGTTACAGGTGCACAATGGCCTGATGCAGTTTCGATGGTCTTCGCTTGATCTGCTGATATCAGCTTGATAGAATTATCAGCATGTCCTCCTATGTATTCACACAAAATCATTAGCATGAACCATTAAAAGAAGAGAAATAATTGATCTAACAATACCAAATGATTCGAGCTATACTTGTATCCAGGAGCAGATCCAGCCTTAATTTTCAGGGGTAAAGTTTATAAGTAAAAATATAAAATTTTTTATTCATAATAAAGACTAAAAATACATATAGAGGGGGACAAATTACCTAAAGAATCATATAATAAAGAATTTTTTTTTTATTTTTTCAGGGGGGGAAGGGACAATTGCCCCTCTGGCCTTAAGGTGGATTCGCGTATGTTTGGATCATACCTATCTTATTAAAATCGCCCATTTATAATCATGTTTAATGAAGAATGGAACGAATGAAAATGTAGCACCTAAGCATAAAAAAACAACCAATATTGGAGATTCCACAGTGATTTTTACAGATGGTTATGTCAAAAATCATACACGTTGCGTGAACATAGCCTATTTTCCGAGACAAGCATACTCCGTCTAAAATGGACAACATGTTCAATAAGAAGTGTCCCATTTTCTCGATCAACCAAAAAAAAGAAAAAGAAAAAACAAGTTTGTTATATTGCCTCCTTGTTTCTTTGTACCAATCCTAATTGCCAATCATACTTTTTAGACTCAGGAACATTGAACTTTATTGACGATATCTACTTAATTCTACCGATTTTCATTTAGTTATTCAAAATTTAGGAAACTTTTCAATGCATGCAATTCCGACTCACTGGATACTGGAAAGCTGAGAAGCAAAAGGAAGTTGAAGGCTTTCAGCTCCATAGACACGTAATTCAAAATGCAAATGATTGTAAACCTACCGTTAAAAAAAAGGTTATACCTAAACGCTAAATGCCAAGTTTGTTATAATGCCTCCCTGTTACTTTGTACCAATCCTCTATGTACATACCATTCAAATAAATATATCTTGCCATTTCTTGACATAGCAAAAAAATAGTTATGCTTATCTGGTTATCAACTATTTTCATCAAAGATTTTAGAGCAAAAAGAGGCTGTCACCATATACACAAATTAAGATCATAGATATTTGAAATTCTATTAGACCGGTCCAACATAACCGGCCCATGCGAAATAGGCGGAGATGTTCCGCCTTCTTATACACACAATCCAATCGCACGGGTAGGAAAAAGTTGTTTAGGAAGGACTTTTAAGGAATTAGGAGGAAAATTTGAATGTAGGGACCGTTTAGAGATTTCCTTTTGGATTGTATGCATTAAATAGTTTGTTCTCCTAGGGTTAGCGCATATTGAATTTGGCTGAAATTTGAGATCTCTTAGTTTCTTTGGGCTCTAGCAGCGTCTAGAAATTTGGGAGAGAAAGATCCTCCTCTCGAATAGAGGATCAATTGTATCTTGGTATTTTCCGTTTCCCTTTCATCAAATAATACAAATTATCTACTGTTTTGTGGTTTTGTGGGGATTTTTGTGGAGAATTCTTGTTGTTTTCTGAGGATTGATAGGAAATACTTGAGATCTACACGTGTTTCCTATCAAATTCCCAATCAAATAGGAGCATACACTTACCGGTGATAATTTCATTATCATGTGTTATAGCAACAACGGCAGAACTTCGTATTCCTGATGCAGCAAATGCAAGAGCACGAGGAAAATGCCAATCATCAGACACCAATCCTGCTGGCCCTTTAAACATGCGGACAAGGGCTCCACCGGCGGAAGTTGGAGCAGCTTTCCCATGATAAAACAGGAAAGGATTACCATGGACATCAGGAGTATTTGGTCGCCATTTGTGCTGCACAACGTTTGCTGCAGGTGCAAGTAAATCGACAATTACAACAGAATCATCTGAGGCATAAATAGAAGCAGCAGGAACATTGCATCGTTCAGGATGTGGAATTGCGTATGGTTGAATTTCATTTGGATTTCGAAATATAACCTGGATAGACAGATGCAATCAAATAAGAATAATGCAGATTAGTAATCAACAAAGGCTGATATGCACAAACTGGACTGATTCCAAGTTATGAGAAAATCATTAAATCCACAAATAAACAACTTCTTAATAATATGCAAATAGTTGACTGCAAAGTAAATGGAAGAATATTATCGCCATTACCATAAACATTTTCACCCGAAAATTGATTAGCTTAGCTTAGGAAGTTCTCAGCCATAAATTCCTATTCAAGCTACATTTGTTGTTAATTTTAAATTGGCTAAATCTTTTTGAACATATGTACTACCCCTATTCCTTTCTAATTTCTAACAATAGCTATAGTTCCTACTAAAGCATCATCTTTAAAGCATTGCACATGCCCCCCCCCCCCCAAAAAAAAAAAATCCACCTTCGACCACATTACAATAAATTTCCTGCTCTTAACCATTTCAAAAACTATCTAGTAATTCTGTTACAATCCATGTTCACACTCTTATTTCTACCAAATTCAATATATTTGCATGTGTCATCTTCATAAAGAAACATTAATATACATATTATATAGCAGCTCCTATGGTCATTTCTATAAACTTCTCACATTTCATGCTTTTCTTTTGTTACATAATACTATGGTGGATCTTTTTTGAGCATTCAGTTCTTTTCCTATCATTTCTTCATCTAAATGCCTAATATTTTGTAAAAAATATCAAAGATATCTAAACCACATCTTAAGTTTCATAATATTCTATCAAAATTGTGTGATTGTATTTATAACTATGCAACATAAGACCCTTAGCTCAATAAGTATTGCTTCACTTATTTTAAGCTCCTTGTAGTGTAAAGCTTTCCTCTATTTTCACATTCAATAAAATTTTCACCTTATCAATCAAGAACTTCATTAGAATAAACTGCGTTGCATTAATCGAGTTTTAGGGTTGACTAAAAAAAGAAAAAAAAGATGGAATAATTGAACTACAGAAAACAAAGATCAAGGCATATGCATATGCCCTCTCTCCATCTGAGTCATATTTAAGTAAAACATTATACAAGCAGGGGGAGAAAATATCAAAACTAAATTAAGCATGCATTTTTTATAAATAGTTAGCATGGCATTAAAAAAAAAATCATAAATGAAATTTCTTTCAATCTCATAGAGTGGAACTTCTAGACAATGAAATTAAACAGAAAAATAAAAATATTAACTGGATTGGACCAAAAAAATTGTTCCCCTGAATGGATAGATTCTTTGACGAATGTGTGATGAATGTTTCAGAAAAGACACGACAAAAATACGCATATTAATTAATCCCTAAGCAAATTGTAGCTGCCACAATATAAGGTTAATTTAGTTAAGCCATTGTGGAATTGATAAAATCAAGTGAAGTATATACCTGCAACTTTAGGATTTCTGTTAATGGTTTCCTCTTTAAATGCGGGACAGCCAACAATTGTGATGGAATTTGTCCAAAGTATGCAATCTGCTTTCGCGCATCAAGGCGATGCACCTACATATAATTTTAAGGGAATGAGATTAATAGCATCATATTAAAAAATAATAATAATAACAACCAGATTATGTATACCGGGTCCATTATTTTATCGACGTCAATTCTCCCTTCATAGGAAGTATAGAAAAAGACATTATTTGCTGATACAGCTTCCTCACCACATTGCTTGTACCTGAATAAATAATAATAATTAAACATCGGGAAGGTAAAATAAATAATACAAAAGACTATCAATGCGAATAACTCCACAATGCATATAGATCATTTATGACAATTATTTTTTGAATGATTAGGCATGGATTACAAGTTCATGGTTATTGTAAGCATGATGCGAATGAAGATTGATGTAAAGGTGGTTGCATGCACACTTGATTGTGGTTGCATACTGAGATGACCTAATGTTTAAATCCAACATTCAATAAGGGTATTGAGTTTAAGGAGACATGATGTTTGGATGGAAGCGCAACTTAATCAAAGAATTTAAGTCCTAAAACAACAACAACAATAACATCACTACTTTATCTCATTACATAGGGGTCGGCTACATGAATCCTTTTTCTCTATTATGTCCTGTTAAGAGTCAAATTTTCATTTAAATATAATAAAAAAAAGTTTTTTTCTAACCAAATTTTTTAGGTCTACCTCTACCTTTTTTAATATAAGCCAAATGTAACACATCTACTCTCAGAAGGCCAACATTTAATGTGCCCAAACCATCTAAGATGACTTTTGCTAATATTATTTGCCACTAGAACTACTTCCAACCTTTTCACACATATGCTAGTTTCGCATTATATCTCTAAGAGTGAAGCCACTCATACACCTGAGCATCCTCATCTCTGTAACACTTAATTTAATTTTATTCTTCCCTTTTAATGGCCAACATTCTGCACCATAAAGCATTACACGTCTCAACATCATCTTATAGAATTTTCCCTTAAGTTTGAGGGATATTTTTCTGTCACATAACAGACTCGATGCATTCATCCACTTCAACCATCCAACTTCAAATCTACTAATAATATCCCCATTTATTTATCTTGACCCATACACATCAAAACATGCAAAAAGAGGTGAAAACGAAGATTTAAGCAACGCGAGCGTCGGCGTAGTGCATCACTTAAAGGGTCAAACGACCTTCGATTACAAAACAGATTGCGTCGTTGCGATCATGACATCGAATTCGCCTAAGTAAGAACCCCATGCAGTAGAACCAGACAATGATGAAAAACATCTAATGATCATGAGTAGGATGTGCTTAGGCATGGCAAACCTTGGGTGTGCTAGCTTTTGGGTTCTATGGGCTTTGGCTACTCTCGGGTTGGGCTTTGGTTGTTTTGGCTTTGAGCTATAATTTAGGATCTACTTAGTGCTAACTCATTAATGCTTGAGCTAATTTTTGGCTCATTATTTGGAGTAATTGCACTATTTTAGCTCATAAATTTGAAAAAGTATTCTTCTTTTAGCTCATTATGTGGAGTTGGAGCTTGCCTCTTCCCCTTCTTTGTGTCCTCTCGGTTTCTCCCTGGTGTTGCTCCCGTGGTTGGTTCTCCTCCCTTTACTAGTCTGGTTCCGGTCCCCTGTGTTGCCTTTTCGGTTTCTTCCCTTCTTTCCCGTGGCTGCCTCTACCCGGTTCTTGTGCTGTCTTTTCGGGTGTTGTTTTGTGTTGCCTGCTGGCCTTATTTTCCTCTTACCTGATTGGTTCGGTTGGAGATGGAAATTGGCTATTTAGCTCCCCTTTTTCTCCTATAAATATGAGGGGTTTTTGTCATGAAGAGCTTGTTGATTAACTTGAGAAAGTCTCTAAAAAAACCTGAGGGTTTCTTCTCTTCTCTTGGAAAAGCTTGCGAGCTTGTTCCAAATATCTCTTCCTCCTCTCCATTTCGTCTTGACTTCTAATCTCTTCTTCTCTACGCAAGTTCCACTCCACTTGTATCCTTCCTCTTGAGCTATTGGGAGGTGTTTGTTGGCTGATTTGGAGACATTTGCCGGAAGAGTTTGGTTGGACGTTGGACCTTATTGTTGTGGTGGACCCTTGGTTTGCAAGCCCTAAGCACTTTATCATATTTTACCTACTGTTCATTGCATGTGAGGAAACCGCTTGTCGGTTGTCTGAGGATAGTGTTTTTATTTTGTTATTTTGTTTCGTTTGTTCAACTTTTTGTTCGTTTTGGTGTTTGTTTGGATGTCTGCATTCTAGATTGAATCGAGTTCGGTTTCATTTGCCTAGTGTTCTCCTATTTGACTTTTCTTTCTAGTTGTCTTGCATCAAGTATTTAATTTTATATAATCGCATTAGATCTTCAGCACCTCTTATAAGTAAAGTTCACTAACTAAAAATATAAACTCTCAAAACCGATGCTTGTTAGATTAACCAGAATATTCAATTTTCTATGTTCACGTTAGGACTTTAAGGTGTCTAATAAGAAAGGTTTGCTCATTAAAAGCACAAACTCGCAGAACTAATGTGTAAGAACTAGCTCGGCCGGTCAGTTGAACCAACCCTAACTAAAGCACGGGCGAAACATATGGGTCGAGCGGGTGAAGCAGCGAGCCGAGCATGGGCGGGGAAAAGTTGGGGGAACAGAACCGTGCAAACAAGCGAAGAACCACGTAAGGGAGTGAAAAGCTGCGACTCCTCAAGACAGATATATGTCCATTTCACTCACTCCACTCACTCCACTCACTCCAGTGGAATGAAACGAATGCGAGAAGCATCAGCCAAGAGGAAGAAGAAGGAGAAGAAAGTTAGGTTTGTCAATTTAGTTCATTTTTGTGCAAATTCTTGAGTGATTTAAATCTAAGAAGGAATCTTTAATTAAATTTTTCTTCTATTCAAATTTAGATAAGGAAATTTATAAAATTTAATTTCCTCTGACTGAAAAAAAATATAAGATTGTTAAATAGGAATAAATCAAATTGGTGAGTCTCAATTCAAAGAGGAAAAAATCTTTAATAAAGGTAATTAATTTTGATTAATTTTAGAGATTGCAACAGATTATGAACTATGTTCAAGATATCGTTAGTAGCATTCAATATTATATAGAAGATGCCCAATGTATTTGAAAACGTCTTTAAATGATATCAAATTAATGCAATATCATCTTGACGACATTTAATTTTAGAATTTGATTATCAATTATTGATACATATGGAATATTATTTGGAACAATGAAGAATTCAAATATTTGAGCTGGGACGAGTATTAGAAGTTTATTTCAAAGATTAAGTTGAAAGGGATTGATGCACGGAAGTAATGAAAATGAATAATTATAAGTGTTTTATAGTAATTATGATTTCTTTTTTATTTTTATTACAATTATTATGTTGAGGCATATATGTGATTGAATGTTTATTTATATAAAATGATTAAAATTGAGAAAAGAATAAAGTGGATGATTGTGTTAATTATAATAATTTTATTTTTTTATTTTATTGCTATTATTGAACATTATATCATGCCTAAATACTTATTATAATTAAATATTTATATAGAATAAATTTGAGAATGATTAAGTGAAGATCATTATATATATATATATATATAATGTCCTTAAACATTAATATGACATGTGATGAAAATGAAATAAACTAAATGAATATTTATATGAAAATGAAAGTATTAAAGGAAGAAAAAGGTGTATGCATACAACTATAGAATTTTACCCACTTATAATACTGATTGGGGACGCAACGTACTCGTGTACGTTAAATAGAAATAGAAATGAAAATGGTTGTATCTTCATTGGTACAAACTATAAACGGTGCTCTTGTATTAAATGGAAAGAGAAAATGAAGAAATAAAAAGGAGTAAATGAATAAATAAAATGAATAGATAAAATGAAAAAAGAAACAAGTTATTTGAAAGACATAATAAAAATCTACAGCATATGTAATGTTATGAATATATTATAGCTTATGAAATATAATGAACATGTTAACTATATGAGAAAGGCAAAGGAACATGATTATTTTTATATATGTTTAACTGTTATACTATAAACTGTGATTATTTACAGAGTTTACTATGTAAACTCAAATTATCAAACTTAAATTTCAGGTAAATCTTCTGAAAATAAAATGCCTGAAAGAAAAGAATACGTCTACAGCAGGAAATCGAATGAAAACAAACAAAATCTAGTTTATGTATATGTTAAAATTTGTAAATTTGTTAGTAGCTCATTAATTTTATTTGGGATGTTAGTTGCTTAAATATTTATATATTTAAAAATATGTATTAACTATTTGATTATCTGTTCCCGCCTTGTTTATTCGAGTATCCGGGACAGGTCGTTACACAACATGCTTTGAATTAACCAGAATATTCAATTTTATATGTTCATATTAAGTTTCCAAGGTCTCTTACAAATAAAATTTACTTATTATAATATAAACTCTTGGTTTGGCTATCTATACAACCCTAAAAATTAGAAGTCGAACCCGATTTTCTATTGGCAAGTAAACAGTCGACAATGTTCAAATAACAAAGCAAAGTTACCCATAAACTTTGATGATGGTAGTGTTGAAAAAAAATTCAACCAAAGGAAATTCTATAAGTTATATTACCTCCAAAACCTTGATGGAGATACAATATTTTAAAAATAACTTTATTATCACCCCGAAATGGCCGTGTTGAATGTGATTCAAAGAAATGACCCAAAATTCCAAAGTTAATTGTTAGGGGCTCAAGTTTAAATAAAATTCCAAATCTAATATTCTACAAAATTCAAAGCAACATACATCTCCGCCCTCTGCAATAGTTTGTCGAGAAGGTTAAATTTGAGTATAGCCTTAACTCACAAAGAGCGAACGTCATGTCAGATGTATCACTAAGATTTATTCTCAAACTATCTCTCGCTATTAAGGATGTAGCACGTGTTCTCTAATTGGTGATTTTTTTACCAAATAACACTACATGTAAATGATTATGATCGAGGCCCTTTGATTGGATGATTTTGCCATCAAATAGTACTACTAAATTATGATCATAGCTAGAGCTCATGTGGTTTCTAATGACTTCAAACTATTGAGTAATGAATCATATAATATATTTGAAAGGGCACAAAACCCTCTGTAAGCTAAATTCGACTTAAATTTGTCCGCTTAGGCAAACATTCAACCCATATCTATAAGGTACCATTGGACAATACAACCCTTAGCTGTTGACAAAGATTCTTCAGTCAGGTTAGACGACTATCTCTTATGACTATTAGACTAGGGACTATGATAACCTAGGATGACGAAACTGTAGATCTTGATAGGGCCCATCATCATTCCCCATCACTTAGTTTAAGTATATGGTGATAAATTTCAAATCTTGAAAACCCTAGAAATCCAATTTCCAAATCCAAAAAGCTACTGCTACTATATGCTAGATATCTAGTATCTATTTAATAACTAGCTTTAATCAAAAGTATTCTCTTGTTTTCGGGAGTAGTTAACTATAAAGGCTTGTGTATATGAGAAACTAGGTCTCAGGTCATAAAGTCCTCGTAAAATAAGGGCAAAATCTCTGAGCAGTGTCTGATCTAAAATTCAATTTGCCTTCTAAAAATTGATCTCAAAATTTAATTCGTTAAAATTCTCCCCGTCGACAAAAAAAGGGTGTGGATAGCCCGAGGCGCCAATTTTTGGAGCCCAAAAATTTCCTTTAAAAAAAAATTTGCATTCCAAATAATACAAATTTTATGGTGATAATTCATCAAAGAGCTTTAAATCAAATCTTGACCAATCATGTCAAATTTAAGTGTTTTATTAATAGAAATGATAAATATCCCTAGTAATGAGTAAATGAAAATTTTAATTATAAAGTTGGTATGCAAATTCGAAGCATACATGTCTGGCCCTAAATGTTCAACATTAACATCCGCATCAGATACAAAATTAAATTTTAAGTCACCGTTAGCTATAGTCATAATTTCTACTTCTGTTTTTCCTCTTAGATCCCAGAGTTTCAAATCTCTAGCCACACAGTCCTTCGAATGATCTCAGCCACTTCTTACCTACTGAGACAATTCAAGCAACATAAGTTTAGTAGAGATGGGTCAACGGTTTGAGGGATGGAGAGGCCAAAAGACAGTATAATTTTCAGGTTTCTAGGGCTTTTGGAGGAGAAGGTTGATATGCATTAGGGAGATGAAAGAATTAAGGAATATATTTGGAAGTTCACGCATGAGAGCATATGTAGATTAAATAGAATATTTCAATTCGCATGTCTTCCATTCTGGTTAAGAACAACAGTTCCTTCCACAGGGTTTGAGGAACAAAATGTGTATGTGTGCGTGTTGGTGCTTGGGAATTCAGCTTCTCCATAAAATAAATAGAATATCCCATGATGTGCAAATTAAATAAGTCAAAGGGATTTTAGTAATTACTAACTTTTTATAGTAGGATTAGGATCCACTGCTTTCATAAACTAAGAAAAAAACTGACATACCCAAATATGAGGTCAATCCATTCATGTAGATGCGAAGAAACGTGTTCACTCTCTAAAGCACGGTGATGCAAATAAATGAAATCAACCGGATTGTCAGCCCATGGTGGTAGTTTAACAGAATCTGGGAAAAGTGGATAAAAAATGAGGATTGGCATAAATTCTACGCATTATATTACATCAGCCAATGATGATCAAGTGAATTCACCTTGCCTTCTCCCTGACTGGTTTATGCCAATATCAATATTGTTTTCGTTACTTAGAATCTCAGGGAGGTAAAACAACTCTGGCACCTAGAGAATATCAACATAAAATAATCAGATGCTAAAATGAAATGTGTAACCTGAAATGTACAGAAAGAGAAGGCCGAAAATCTTTATAGACAAAATGCTTAGAAAATCTAGCCAATATATTATTTAACTTAAGAAGACATCTACCAATTCTTTCACATCACTCATGTCCTCCAGGACATTATTCCATGAATGACCAATATCAGAAAACATTTGATCAGCACGGCCAGATCCACCTCCTAATTTGGTAGAAAGAGTGGTAAATGGTTCGACTCTGAATAAGAAATACATGACCTGGAAAAAGTCATTAATATCAGATAGAAAATGATAATCAAACTTCAACATGAATTTATAAAAGTCATGAAAATTAGAATGAGAAGAGAGAAGAGTCACAAAATAAGTTGATTGAATTTTATCATATTGTTTTATATAAAAAGGATGAACGAAGTTATAAATAAATAGCTAGAGAGAGCTATAAATAAAAGAAAAAAAACCGAAAAGCAGACTTTAATTTTAAAATGTAGAACCAACTACACAAGATAAATAGAAAGTTGTTATTTGCGGATTGTTGAATTGCTGTAGAGGAAACCTGATATCCACAAATTGCTGGATTATAGTATATGAAAAGTTGAAAGCAAATTAATGGATTGTTGTAGGTGGAATAGCGTTGGACATGATTTCAATATTATATCAACAATCTCCTTCAGACAAGTTTAAATATGTTGATCATATCCAAATTGTCAATTAGATTATCAAAACTCATTATGGATATAGCCTGAGTGAGAATATTTGTGGTTTGAGAGTTTGTTGGAACAAAATTTAGTTTGCTAGTTCATTTTCAATTGTCTATGACAAAATGCAATATATCTCAATGTGTTCAGTCTTATCATAATAATAGTATTAATTATAATATTTATGACAATGTGGTTATCATATAGCATTTAAAAAAAAAAATCACATGATAGTTTAGCTTTCCTAACAGTCATTTTAATCGAATTCATTCACAAATACTAAGTGTCACTGCCGTGTATTCAACTTTAGCTTGCTTCTTGAGACCACAAATTGTTTCTTATCTCTCCATTTGACAAGGTTTCCCTATACATAAGTATACTAGCTATAGGTGAATCTTTGTCAGCATCTATGAAAAATTTAATTTTCTTATTGTATGACTTGATATATAATAGATCTTAACTGGTATTATCTAGCAGTACCTAAGAATGTGGTTAAAAGATTCTATTTGATCTTCAGTAGGGGTATTCATGCATTGGCATACAACACTAATAAAGTGTTACACTCCACATCACCCCTCCTACCACAACAACGTAGGGTGCAACAGAGAAAACATCAAATTCTTTAACATTTAAAACTCATAATCATAGTTAGCTTAAATTATATGCCTATTTACCCTACTTTGGAGGAAATAATCAGAGAGCTCTGCCCAAAAGACTAACTCTGAATACAAGAAGTTTATTGATCAATAACAATTTTTTTTTATATTTATTTATTTTTATAAATTAGAGATTGTTCCGTATAACTTCGTTCTGATCAATAACAATCAGGCAAAAGAAAGGATCTCTGTGAATGAATAGGAACGAATCAGAAGAAATGCATTTGTGGATACCAAAGGGATCAGACCTGATTTAGGAAGTTTTATATGAAGCCCATTAACTCCAAATCCAAAGTAAATGAATCACAATCTTATGAATCAATTTTAAGGAACTTATAGGAGGTCACAGTAGAGAAGAAAAAGAGGCTGCAGATGTAGCATAGATAAAAAAATAAAAAATAAATTAATGAAAAATTTTCTCTGAATCTCCCCTAGGAAATTAATAATTAGCAAAAGTGTAAGATCATTAATTAGAAGGAACAAAGCATGACAAAGCTAACATTATGTGCGATAGTAGTTTAAAGGTTCTATGATAATATCTTAAAATTAGGATCAGACGCATTACAAGAATCAAAATCATTCATGATAAAAGGTTAGCTCAAAAAGATTGACAACTGGACTAATTTTAGGATCCCATAATGAGGAGAGATAACATGTAGTGAATAAACGAATTGATCTTTAAGTCATGAAAAAATGTTGACATAAAAACTTTTCAATCTTCTCATAATGTGGTTGCTCGCATTCATATCACTCTATGGGGGCATTTTTTAAAAAAATTCCCCTAATGCCCTAATCTATCCCTACTCTACTAAATCAAAGCCCCTAAATGATTCCAGTCCCAAGCAGAAAAAAACAAATAGCAATCAAAGCCTCCCTTCACACAACCAATAAGAGATTAATGAGCTTCAATAAGGGTAACAATCTGTGAATCACATGACAAGGAAGATGAAAAACACAAAGGAGACAGAAAGTGAGAGGATCTAGTTATTTGTATCTTGTAGACTAAGAGAAAGGATGATTTTTTTTTTTTTTTTCAAATGTTGCTCAAAATTTTCATAGAGGTTGTTTAGTTTGAAGTAAAATGGGTCTAAAGTTACTCATTTACATAGGTTTTAAAAATTTTGGTGTTTGGTTTGATGAAAAAGAAAAGCAAAATAAAATAAAAGAGATGTAGTGTAAAGTGTTTTAGTTCATTTTTAAGGTTAAATAAACTCGCCCAATTTTGAGCGAAAAATCACCGCAAGCAATCTCCCTTGCCAAGGCTATATATATATATATATATATATAGGGTCCTCCTCTCAAATTTATACTCCATAATATTTGATACTGAATTTATCAGTGCCTACTGACCCCATTAATGTAGGCCATTCTTGACTAAACCACATAGATCGCCATTCACTAATCCAGAAACAAAATAGCTAGCTTAAGAAACCATGTATTAAAATATAGACTTATACTTTCAAAAAATATCAACATATAAATGTAAAAATAGTCAAACAACTGCTAAAATCTATAAATGTACATGAATCAACAAATACCGTTCGGAAAAAAAAAAACAAATACCGTTCGGGCACTAGAATAATGTGAGCCATAGTGGAACTTGGGGATGATGGGATCATCAAAGGTCGAGTATCTCTCTTGGAACTTCTTTAGCCTGTCAGGATTTAAAGCACCAATTGGCTGTACAGTACAACTAGATAAGTCAAACAAAATGCTATAATAATGAAAGGAAAAAAAAAAACATTAAAGAAACAGTCCCCATAGATACCTTCGAAAGATCTCTATAAGAAGAAGGATCTTCAAGATTTAATGTTTTAGAATAATAATCTGCCAAGATCCATGGAAAAATAGGATACTGCAGAAAACACAGGATATTCAGAATATAAACAGTGAAATACTAGATTGAAAGATCATTAACACAACTCTTATGTTATTAACCTGTGTGATATCATTGTAACTACGGCCAGCTAGGGTGTTGAGTTCCATTAGATATTCGAAGTTGCTAATCTGTGGCAAGGAATAAATGAAATCATGAACTTGTTTTGCCAACTGTAAAATGACATGCAGACCAGAAGGCTTACCTCCCACCTTGCCCAACGCTCCATAAGCTGAGTTTTTCTAAGAATTGCATCAGGTCCCTAAAATAAATTGGGTAAATGAACACAGCTATAGTTAAGTTACACATTAAAATAGAAAAAAAGGAGTAGTTGGAGTGAAGGTGGAGCTAACCGTTGCTGTGAAGAATATATCATGCACATGAGGAGGGTGTGCCTGAATTATACCACGAAAAGCAACCTTGCATCCTTCAATACTCTGAATCAAATGAAAAATACAAACAAATTTATATGTACAAACAGGCCAGCTGATACTCTAAAGGCTTTAAGTCCATTACTTTCCCTTTAGGTTCATTATTTTCTCATTGTCAAAATGGTACAAACCACTTTTGGAAGTCATATGTTCTTTTAGAAAGGAATCTTATTTATGTTTTAACCAGAAGAACTAAATCCTTAACGAATATCAACAAACAACTCTCAAATCAACAAAATATACATTAAATGGAGTTTTTTTTAAGAGAAAATAAAGAGAAATTGCACAAGGCATATATTTATTCCATATGAAATAAAATTGTATTTATAATTTTAATGATCAATTGTCTGAAATATCATTTCCCCAAGAATTATATGGTGGCTCGACCAATCTCAGATAAACTGATCTAGTGTTAAGTATTAAATTTCAGAAGAAAGAAACACAGTGGCACATAGGAAAATATACATGTGCAACCATTCAAGCATGCATGTACGCATGCAAATCTTTATATGGATGCATGCCCGCTTTTATCCAAGTGGATATAAGGCATGTCAAGGAAAATTTATGTACATATAAGCATGCATGCATGCATACATAATATTTCCACGATGCTAAATAGTACAATTTCTAAGTGAGTGCAACTTGAAAGGATGAAATAGGTTATGCAGACAAAAATACTCATTAGTGACAAATAAACCACACGTGAATATTTTTAATCAGACATATGAGGAAATTGAATGAAAGATTTAGAAAGATTTTACCCCAAAGTCAAAGAAGTAATTCGACCGATCAGCCATAAAAAATTCTAAAGCACTTCTTCTCAAAAAATATCTACAAAAAGCAAACAACTAGGATGAATAAATGAAAGAGATGCAATGAAACATAATTTAATTCAATGTATTGTGAGTAATTTGAATAAAAGGGAAGTTAGAGTATTTTCCATCTAGTTTCAAGAAATAAGCATAATCAAAATACTTATGAGATACAAAACAACCTACCCTCAAGCATTGCAAATCAATTTAAAGAAATGTCATATATGCAAGGGGTAATAGCATGAAGGAATATATCCAATTATTGTGAACCTAGAAATATGTAATAATATAAGGTATAAATGAATTACGCATATGATATCATCCCATCTAAATTGAAAAGCATTGCTTCCGTAACCTTCAAAGGATGGCAGGAATACCTATTTGCAATTAGAAAAATGATTTTCTTATAGATTTTAATTTTCTATTAGGCAGTATAACAAGCATGCTATTGAAGATGGTAAGATTTTTATCAACAACCTTCGGCAAAAAATTTGACGAAGGGAAGAGATGGACCAGCTTCTATCCTTGCCTTGTTCCTTGTCTTGGGGTGAAGCAACCAAGCTTTCAGCTATGGATTCATCAGTAGTATGCACATCAACAATGAAATTTATTCTCTTAGTTGTGATCTGTAAAAAATAAATAAGAAAGGTGGAAAACCATAAAGACCTTACAATTTACCAAAAAATAAAGCTGTAAAAGTAACATGCTTGAATACAGGATTTACTAAAAAAAAAGACTTAAGGTGCAAGCTGAAAAACTAGTCGTGTAACTATAGTAATCCATCCAACACATAGCTTAGAATAAACAGAACCAAGATGATTTTAACAATAACAAATGAAGAGTGCTAGATAACTAAAACTAAGTGATGGGGACATCGATACGAGGTTTCGACGCGACTATCCGAGGCGACACAGGAGATCAATGGCCACGATGGAGAGTCTTTACTTTTGATGCATTTTATGTATTAGTCATTATTATTTCTTCATTTTTCCATTTTTGTCCTTATGGGTAGTTGGTCACTATTGTAGCCCGAGGGGCATTGTTATCTTTTGTTTATTTGTCATTATGAGGCTTATATATATGGTCATTCTCTTATGTATTGGTTAATGAATGAAAATTTCATCTTGTTTCTTCTTCTTGCATGAGAGCTAGAGAAGGGAGAGAGAGAGAGCTCAAAGGGAGCAAGTGCAAGGCCCACCAGTCGTTGGAAGAGTCCTCGACTCGTGGTTTTCTATTTTACCATCGTCTTCTCCACCACTTCCATCACTCCCACCCGCCGGCCTCCATAGCCCCACTACCGTCCACTAGCTCCATCACTCAACCCGCCTCCTCCCTAGCCAAACTCGCCCGCCGGCAAAGCCCTCCCTTCCCCTTTGACCGCTGGCCATCCCCTCATACAACGTCATAATGACTCTTAATTTGGGTGCTAACCTTAAGGAAGGAATTTGAGAATATTGAAATTCAAATTTCTAAATCCAAAAACTTTCCTTAATTGTGAAATCCAAATAAGGAAAGTTTATCCGTTTGAATCCGTTTGAAATTTTAAATTTGGAGTCATTATTGTTCCACCTCGTTGGCATATCTCGTTTGGAAAGAGTTTGAATTCCCCCCTTTCCCCTCTCCATGCTGCCGGCCAAGCTTGGTTCCAACGCGACTATCCAAGGCGACACAGGAGATCGATGGCCACGATGGAGAGTCTTTACTTTTGATGCATTTTATGTATTAGTCATTATTATTTCTTCACTCTCTTAAGCCTCCAATCAATGCATTCATTACACACTAATTTGAGATCAATTTCAAATTAGTTTTTCCCCCAAAACTTAATTGAATGAAAAACTTGATGGCATTTTGTAAGATTCAAATAATACAAGGAGATAATAATGTGGCATGGCATGAAATGAATTCAGGCCATGTTTGGATGAGTTTTGTTTCCATTTTATTTTGTTTTTGTTTGCTAAAAAGAAAATTATTTGGATATTCTGCTTATTTCCTGTTTTTACAGAAAATAAAAACTACTTTGGGAATTAAAAAAAAAAAAGTAGCCTGTAATTTAATTGGCACGATTCAGTATTTAATCCAAATTAATCACATCCATGTATTTATTATGCTAACTAAATCTTATTTAAGCACACCAATTAATTTAAGTTACCATCATAATCACTAATTATTTATCAATTTCTTAGGTTAATCAAATCCTAAATATCTATAATTAGTCAAAATTTTAATTTATATTTCAAATCCAAATGATCTTAATTAAAACTGTAATTACTTTCTAATTAACTATAATGAAATGTTAATGATAATTTAATATTAGTGATTGATTACGAAACTAGATCAAATTATCATAATTAAAAACTACCATCACCTTAATGATAATAACTAAAATCCTAACTAATCTCTAATTAGCCTAAATAAAAAGTTCGTCACAAATTACTCAGGTTATTTATGATTTAATTATAAATAAAAATCTTAATTACCATAAATAAAAAAAAAAACTGATTAAGATATTGATAATTTAATTAAAAAACCGAATTAATATATAATTAGCCTAATAATTCTTTATTTTGCAAGTCACTATAGTTAAATAAATTTTCCAATTAATAATCTTAGTCTTAATTATATTAAATAAATGGTTAACTGCCAACTATTTTGGCTACTTAATCAATAAATTATATATTGCACATCATATTCTTGTGCTTAAACACAAATAAACTAAATTATCATAACTAAAGCTCTGATCATCTCTAATTCTCTCTAACAAATATTAAATAAGAATTATTTTCATTAATTACTATACTAGTGAATTGACCCCTCCCTAATTATGAAATTAAACATTTATAAAACCTAGATCTTAACTATAAAATTAATTAATCACTAATTAGTTCTTTTAATATTTGATTTGCATAATTAATAAACAATTATCTTAATTAGTCAAACCGGTCTAAACAATCACTTAGGTATATTTTTAGAAAATGTGAAAATGCTCTTATTTATTTTCACAATTTAAAGAAACAACTTGTTCTTTTTTTTCCCAAAAATAAGAACTGAAAATATGGTTAACAAACCTGCTTTTTTTTTGCCCCCACTTAGTACATGTTCTTGAAAACAAAAAACAGAAAACAGAAAAAAGGGAATTGTCCCCAAAAAAAAGGGAATGAGATTAAATTCAAACATCGACTCAAATTTAATCAATCAAAAGGCAACTACCATATTACTGATATCAGACACTCAGAAGGCTTTCATACCAAGTTTTTCATTTGAATGCATTACAAACTAAAGACTGCAACTTATCATGATGTCCTAGATTTATTCCACTAGTTCGCAGCTATAGAGAAAATTATCAGTTGAGACATACGAACAATTATGAGATGTCTTAAAATCTTTCGCCAATTATAGAACAGGTTATCGGCTCATGTAGAACTTAGGTAGTTCCAAACATCATTTTGAAACAACAAGAAAATGAACAAGACTTGAGCACTAGGTTGAATGACTTACTTGAAATGTTCCACATACAACCTTCAATGGCCGCACCATCAGTGAGGGCAGTTCAAGAATGATTCTTTCATCAGCTTCACCGGGAACATATCCAGGAGCAAGTACGGATGCTGGTTGAACTGAAATTTCATCAACAGAGGCCCAAGCGTTTCTAGAAAGTAGTGCTCCATGCAATGACTGGTCATCAGTTGATAGCACAGGTTGATTGCCTACATTATCATCCACACTAACAGATTCAGGCTGATCTTCATCCTCATTTTCTTCTTCCATTGACATAGCTTCCGGTTTCATAATGGTGGAAATACAAGGAAGATCATTATTTATTGAATCCCCCTGATCATACGAGTCTTCCATAGATTTATGTTGTATATTATCTTCAAAAAGAGAAGCTCTACGCAAATAAGAAGATTTTTTGTAGCATCTTTTCAGAAATCTTCTCATCCTGCAAGAATTTTCTGATGTGTCTAACATCCGAAATGCCTGCACATCAAACATTTAATGTTGGTGATCTTGGAAAAGCTCATTAACTGACATCAATGTGAATAGTTTTGCTAAATCTGAAATTGAAGGAAGACAAAAATTAAATAAACATGGTTGTTTAATAATAATTTAAGATCTTTAAAATTGCACTTACTAATTTGGCATTGCCCAATTGATCTCCAAATTGTCCAAAAAGCTGATTCATTTCGAGTAGACAGCACACAAGTTTTCTCCATGCTTGAGCACCAGTGCGTACACGATGTCTGTCTAACATATCAACCTGTACAAGTCTCTCCATCTACAATATTTCCAAAAAATTGAGCAAGCTATGATAAAAAAATAAAGCTACGAAACAAAACATCCAACCAACTTACCTCCACACGCTGCATGTTTCTTGCTGAAGCAAAACTCGTCACAAGAACTGCCACATACTTATAGCAAAGAGCAGAAAAATCCCGATCTGAAATAGATCTTGAATCAAAAGGTTGGAGGCACTCTGTCCAAGCAGCACCCATGGCTTCCGCAATATTCCACCTCTTAGAACGCTCAAGATCACTTGCACTCCTCCTCTGCGCTGACGTGGCCATTGCAACAGCACTAAGCCCTCTCCCAGAACCAATCTTCGCATTGCGTTCGAGGTCCCTTGCAGCTGCCAAAGCAGCAGCTTTAGCTGCCGCTTTATCCTTTGGCATAGGTGAAAACTTTTTGGATGTCTCAAGAGGCTTCTGGAAACTTGAAAATGCATGCAGTCTAGCTGACTTGCGTTCAAGCATGGATGTATCACGCCTATATGATGTATTTCTGGAAGTTGGAGCTGTTTCACCACCAGAAGCACCAGCAGCAATCATTGCCAAAGCCATGGCGGCTGGAGGAGATGCAAAAGCAGCAGACCAGCCAGGGGATATCATTGCAAATGCGGCCTGTTCAGACAGAAAAATATTTTAATTTTTGGAGATGGCACAGAACAGAATAGTGACGGAACTAAGATTTAAAGGAGCTGTGAAATCAAAGATCAACTAAAATAAATCAAAATTAAAAACTTTAACTTCCTGAACTAACACAAGCAAACAAAAAAATATATGATGCATAGACACAGATACGATGATATAGACACGACATAGACACATGACACGTCAAATATTGAAAATATAGGACACATACATGGGTTGAATACAATATTACAAATTTTATATCTTAAAAATAGTTTATAGAAATTGAATAAGCAAAATATTAAAAATAATTGAGAAATATTAAGTCATTTAACTAGGATTTGTGCTTAAAATGATAAATATTTGGATGTCAAGAGTTGGTCATGGATGTTGTGTCATGCACCAAGAGGGCAGACGACAATGTTGTCAAGATTCAAACATCGATGTTGTGCAATGGGTATAGGGCATCGATGTCAAGATAACATCGACCCTCAATGTCGAAACGACATCAGTCGTTGATGTTGAGATGATGTTGAACAAAGATGAGATGTCAGGATAGCGCAAGGGCATAATTGTGGGTGTAGAAATTACTAGTTTTGTGTGTCAATGTCAAGAGAGCATCAGACTTCAATATTGAGATTATTTTAAAACATTGATTACATCGGACAGATGACATCGTGTGTTGTTGTGAAACCCTAGTCATAATATGCTAAACAGATGAAAATGGGAATGTTTGAGGAATGGGATATTCAGCACAAGCGATTGATTTGAGACTTCAGAGTCAAATAAATACATTTAGTTTTTATATTTTTAATAAATAAAAATTTGAAGTACAAGAATTTATTTTAAATTATTTTAAAATATTTAATAGATGCGTGTCCAATTTTTTTAATCGAACATGCCTTAGTGTTTCATACATGTGTCGGAAGAGTGTTGCGTTGATACGTGTCAGACACTGCATACCACTTCGAAGAGAAGTATCAGCGCATCATAGAAAAAATATGTAAATAAAAACCAACAAAGTAAAAGAAAAAAAAACCTATCTTAACCTAGCATTAAAGTCAAATATTGACACTTCTTCATTGCATCAAAATCATCAACCACTAATTCTATCTCAAAATTCTTTGCAAAAACATTTCAATCTATGTTAGCAATGAACTTAAAAGGATGTGTGATCGATTATCTCGCATTTGCCAACATTTGACATAGATCAAAAATTGGGGAGAAATTTTCAAACTTAATTTTGATGAGCTTCAATTTCAAAATGCTCTAACCAAATTTTTAAGAGTGGTGTTTTTATCTATTTAGTCTTCAAGATAAAACTTATTTGCAAATTAACAAATACCTTTAATTTGGAATAATAAATATCCATCTCTAATTCAATACTAGGTTGAGAATCAATAGTTCTATAACATAATCTTTAAATATATTGTTTAATTCATGCAATTGTGCATCCATACTTCCATAGTGGCTATGAAAATATCAACTTTATAAAGATACTCCACTATAATATTGTCCTTTCCATGATGCGAACATTCTCCATCTCCTGAATAGGAATCATTCATGCAAGGAAGGGGGATATCTAATTTTTCACCCAAAAAAAAAACTCAACTTTTGGAGAAAAGAATCCCATTCAAAAACTTGACCATAAATCATTGCAGGCCTCACTACCATCTTATAGAATTTTCCCTTAAGTTTGAGGGGTACATTTCTATCACATAACAAGCCCGATGCATTCCTCCACTTCAACCATCCAACTTGAATTCTGCTGATAATATCCCCATCTATTTCACCATCACTCTGAACAATAGATCCAAGATATCTAAAATGTGTACTCTTATTAATGACTTGATCGCCCAAAGTCACAATCCCTTCAGTAGGTCTATTACTACTAAAATTACACTCCATATATTCTGTTTTAGATCTACTCAAGCGAAAACCTTTAGACTCTAAGGTTGACCTCCATAATTCAAGTTTACCTTCAACTCCCTCTCTAGTCTTATCAACAAGAAGAATATCATCAGTAAAAAGCATACACCAAGGTATATCCTCTTGCAAATGTCTAGTGAGAACATCCATGACTAAAGCAAAAAGATATGGGCTTAAGGCTGATCCTTGATGTAACCCAACCGAAATAGGGAAATACTTGGTCAATCCACCTTGTGTTTGAACACAAGTAATAGCTCCTGCATACATATCTTTAATGATTTGAATATAAGCATTATTGACTCCTTTCTTTTCAAGAACTCTCCATAGCACTTCTCTTGGAACTTTATCATATGCTTTTTCTAAATCAATAAATATCATATGTAGATCCTCCTTATTTTCTCTATATTTCTCCATCAAACTTCTTAATAAATGTATGGCTTCCATAGTCGACCTACCCGGCATGAATCCAAATTGATTTTGAGAAACATTAGTATCACGCCGCAACCTATGCTCCATAACTCGCTCCCATAGTTTTAAAGTATGACACATTAACTTAATACCTCTATAATTTGCACAATCTTGTGCATCACCTTTATTCTTAAAAATAGGAATTAACATACTCATTCTCCACTCATCTGGCATCTTCTTAGTCTTCAAAATAGTATTAAAAAGTTTAGTAAGCCATGAAATTCCTTCATCTCCTAAGCATTTCCACACCTCTATATATCATCAGGTCCAACAGCTTTTCCACCCTTCATTTTCTTTAAAGCCTCTCTAACTTCAGTTTTACTAATACTCGTCCGATAAAAACATAAATATTTATTTTCATTTAGGGTGCTAAGGTCATTATAGTCAATCTTATTTTCACAATCTTCATTAAAAAGTTTAGCAAAATATCTCATCCATCTTTATTGAATATCATCTTCTAAGAAAAGTATTTTTTGATCTTCATCCTTAATACACTTCACTTGAACTAAATCCTTACTACTCCTCTCTCTTTGTTTGGCTAACTTATACATATATCTTTCTCCCTCTTTAGTATCTAATTTATTATATAAATTACTAAAAACTAATGTCTTTGCATCGCATATTGCTCTCTTAGCATCCTTACAAGCCACTTTATATATTTCCCAATTATCAGAATTTTTAAAATTAAACTAATTTTTATAACAAAGCTTCTTATTTTTAATCTTTTCTTGCACATTTGGATTCTACCACCAATCATCCTTACAGCCCTTTGATTCCACCACTATACCAAAAAAAGGTATAATCCATGGACTTGGAGATATGAAATATATGGACTTATAATGAGAGTCACAATTGCTTCTGGTCACTTCTAGGCAATTGATGAAAACTAATTGAAAATTTTCAGATATGGGTTTTTGGAACAAAAATTGTTAACTAAATGTTGACATCAATATCAATTCCATAACTTGATCGAATCTAACATAGTGATAAAGATAGACTAGAGCAGCTAAGCAACATTCGATCCGCGTTTTGGGTTAAACCATAAACTACCACTAGTAAATATTTGAATTTTCTCCTTATTATTACCGAGAAACCATTCTATACCAATTCTTTAGAAAAAGTAAAACTTTTTTCATCTATTATTTCTTTTTCTCGTACCTTTAATATTGAAAGTGGGTTATGCTTACAAAAAAAGGAAATCAAGCATTTTGAGGTTCAAAAATGTCGAATCTCATCTCAATCATCATTTGTCAAGAACTTTTAGAGTAAATAAAATTTCTTGGCTTAAACGCGATATTAACTTCATGTTGCAATTCAAAGATTGAGGGTAGAGTACATCAAATGGAAAGTTCTTAAAAGTATTGTCGTATCCCCAAGGGTGAGACCTCTTTCGATGGGTCAATGTAATATTTTTGCTAAAATCCCTGATTCAACTAGCTGTTTATTTAGTACCCAAAAAGTCTAACCCTTCTAGAAAGATTGCATCCTCAAACGCAAAGTTTATGGCTAATCAATATTGCTCATATCTTTTAACTATTGCATTCCTTTTTCTCGCTGTTGGTCATGTGTACGTAACTTATGCAAGATTGGGCACAATATCAATGAACTTTGGTCTTTATGTCTCAAGAAAGAATTTGATTCATTTTTAATTAGCTTTTGCTCTAACCTCTTTAGGGATTTTTACTTCCTTAGTAGCTAAACACTTGAATTCTTTACCTGCTTACACATTGTTAACACAAGACTTTACTAATAAAGCTCATAATATACCCATGACCAATACATCATAGAGTTCATCATGATAAAAGCCTTTGGTCATTGGGTTATATTATTCATTAGGGATTACAATCTGAAACAAAAATGAGGCGTTAGCATGTGTTGGCAAGAATGTTAAACTATAAAGAAGCAATCACATGTCATTTTAGTTGGGTTAGCTATTTTCTAGGGTTTCATACCTTGGGCTTTTATGTTAGAACAATGTCATGCTTGCTTTTGGTCCTCCAAAAAAACATATTTTAACAGAACCCAAATGGATAAAATATGCTAATGGAAACTTCTTATTATCTTAAATGAATAGCTTGACATTCAATGCAAGGTGACACATATGGTTACCTAGTTAGTTTCATAAGACTATGAATTAGTCTAGTAATTCATTGACTTCTCCAAGGCCGAGAGATTTCCTGATTCATCATGCTATTGTTCTAAGTTGACATACAAATATATTGATATTAGTAAAAGATGTTTTAGATGCGTTTGGTTTCAGTTTCATACCAATCTTTTGATTATAATTTTCCTACCGTGGTCCTCGGGCATGGTGGTACTAGTGAAATTTCTACTTGTGGTGCATTTGATTTGATAGTTTTCTAGAGGTTTAATTTGGGTTTCCATTGGCATTGGAGAGACATTAAATAATGGCAAGATAATATTTTACAATTTAATGAATCCTCCACTTATTTGATGGGATGGTTAAGAGATGTTGTAAGGTGAAACCCTTCACAACTTATCAATGGATAGATTTTGTCATGAATAGTTATTAGTTTGGGCATGGATGTCCCTATTTGGACATTGTTGACCTCCTTATGTGTTCAACGACAAAT